GCCATTTGTTGTTGTACTTGTTTAGGAGAGAGGACTCAGAAATCACCCATGTCTGATCCTTCAACGTGCAAGGAAGGGGTTACATGAATGATATATTTCCACATAGGAACACAAGGCCAAAGAAAATGGACACTCCTACCTAAATGTCAAGCACTATGAACTGAATACAAATGATCACAAAACTTGTTTTGCACTATAAATATATAGTAATTTAAATAATGAGGTTCAGTTTAAAACAATATTGAGAAACATTTTTGAAAGACTAAAATGAATAATGAGAATTCACAATGAATATGCATACTTATATAATCAGGCACTTTATTTGGCTTTGGTTTACATTATGATACCTCAGAAATGTTTGACTCGTGTTATTTATAGAAGGAATGATTTACATATCTGCATAATTTTTCTTATACATAATTAGAATATTTAGCCATGATATCCTAAGAGATATACACCAATGAAAGATATATATATGTGTAATTATGTGAGCTAATTAAATTACACATTAAAATACACATTCACTTTAACATTAATTTAATTCTTAGAGAGGTCTGTTAAGCGTAATTTCTTTCTATCTCATTAGTGGGTCCTATTCTGTGTGACCGCAATGTTAATTTTGTACACAAAAGCACTCATTATTTCTTAGCTAGATTATTAACCCAACAGACTTCTGTACTTACTATCGCCTAAATAATTTAAAATATTTTTTCAACATAGAGATGTTCTTATATTAAAATATTTAGAATACCTTGTAATAAAATAACAAGGTAATAAAATAAACATGAAATTAATCTAAGCAGGTCTGAGAAGGAAACGAATAAAATGCTTTATTAGTTGAAGTTGGTATTTGAAATCTCTTAATAGCTAGCCATATTAGTTAATGATTTGAAAATAGAAGTTGAAATTGATTTCTCAGTACATGAAAGTAGAGCTGATAAATTGAAAAGGATCTTAATTTTGATCCTTTTCTGTGAAGGAAGAGTACTGAAGAGTTGCACACACATCATCATCATCATCATCATCATCATCATCATCATTATTTAGAGGCACAGTCTTCCTGTAGCCCCAACTGGCCTGGAACTTGCCATGCAGACCAGACTGGACTCCATCTGACAGCAATGCATCTGCCTCTGCCCCCCGAGTGGTGGGATTAAAGGCATGTACTACCACTCACAAACATTTGCACACATTTTGAAAGTCTATAAATATGCTAGTACACTTAAGACCTGAAAATATGTGATTCTGAAACATTTATTTTAAGGTAAAATTTGGATATAAATCGATCCTGCTTTCATCATAAAAAAATACAATAAAAATCTAAATTTTGTGATCATACTGCATATCAGCATATTCAGAAGGACTTTGAGTATAAATATTGTTGTACATGTATGATGCTAAATATTTGTTGAAAATTTGCCTTTTGGAAGTTTGCATTCATGGTCGCTCTTTCCTACTGTGCACTTTCCTCCCTCATAGCTTTTCACTGCATGTTTCACAGTAAAGTATTCATTATTCACTCCTTTTTCGTTACTTTATGTTTAAATAAACACAAGGACTGGAATTTTGCCTCCAGAAGTAAGGTTACTCATAATCTTGTCAAAATTAGTGCATCACAGAAAACTATTAACTCTATTTTTATGTTTTCAAATAACAAGTTTCAATATAACTGCATAAGTTAATGTAGAAATACTATAATTGTAAGTTCTTTTCCATTATCTTAAAATTTTACTTTAGAAGGTGGAAAGATAACCCAGCTGTTGAAAGAACTTGTTGCTCTTCCAGATGATCCTAGTTCAGTTCCCAGCACACACTTTGGGGCCCTCACACCCACCTGTAAATCCAGTTCCATGAGATTTAATGCCTTCTTCAGGGCTCCATGGGCACCTGCACAAACATGGCATTCACTCTCACATACATGCAAATGAAGAAAAGAAAATTATTTTGAATGAGCTTTATTTTTGGAACAAAGCAAGGAAATGGAAAAGAAACTTTTACAAACATACAGATCGATCCAGCTGAGAATCTTGCCTACCCAGAGTGGCATCCAATACCAGAACACTTGGGACGCCTCCTTTCCTTGAACTTTTGTTCTAGACAACTTAGCACTGGACTGTACATAATCACATTGTTCACTAGTTCATATTTTTTGCAGGTTCAGTTATGTGCCAAGTTCTCTAGCTGAGGGCTTCTTTATACACATTCTCTTATATTCCTTAAAATGAGTCCTCTGAGTAAAATTATTTGAAGGCTTATTTTGCAGATTAAGAAATTGGTTCAATTAACTGGATAAGGAACCAGACCTGGAACCTGGGTACATTGTCAGCAAATCCCAGGATTCCATACTGCTAGCTCCTGAAGGCTATTATAGACTATTACTTCCATATTCTAGCTCCTGAAGGCCATTATAGACTATTAGAAAGCAGTAATCCTGTTGTTTCTAGTCCATAATAGCACCAATGTTCATATTGATATTATTCAGTGAATATTGTGATTTTTCGTATCTATTTCTGTGCTTTTTCAAATTTCATGCAGGCACTGAAAGTTAAACATAATACTTCAACTTTTTATTTCCTCAAAGTCATACCACTCTACACAGAATAGCACTGTAATCAGAAATTTTCTCATTATTTTGAAATGATCCATGAACAACTTGGAGTTGCCCTTCAGTGAATTAAATGTGATGAACATTTAAGTAATATATAATATGACAGTGTATTTTTGTAAAACCAACTGAAATTTCAAGCACTTCCCTGACACCCAAAGAAGCAAAAGTAAAGAAAAGTGCTATACTCAGCCCTGTGTCTGAGATGTTCGGTATGTATAAATGTAAACTTGACCCCTATGAAAGAAGAAATTTCTATTACCGAAAAAGTCCAAAACGGTGGATACTCTGAATTTGAACTTACTTTTACCTATAAAAGTTACATGTACTTGGCCAGGCATGGTGGCACACACCTTTAGTCCCAGCACTTGGGAGGCAGAGGCAGGTGGATCTTTGTGAGTTTGAGGCCAGCCTGGTCTACATAGTGAGTTCCAAAAGACAAAAAAAAAAGAGAAAAGTTATGTGTACTTGATGCATGTGGACAGCTTCCTCACAGTCATCGAAAGCAAAGGCAGTGGATTTAGCTTGCTTGCCTTTTAAATCTTCCCCGTCACATTTTCCAGGGGTTTCTTTTACTTTAATGTGTGAATTAATACACCGAAGGATTTGTATAGTAGAGATACTAGACAAAAAGAAACCAGAGACTGCTGTAATTGACAAAAAAAATCATGAATCATCAAAGAGCTTTAACAAAACAAAATCAGATTGGATTGGCCAATATTTTAAATAACAAAATGATTAAGGAATTTAAAGTTAACTCAATACATTTTAGTACAATATAGTATATTTAGTAATTTAGTATAACCAAATTTAAAGTCACGTATTTTTCTCTTTATATTTTATGTATTACTTTTATTTTATGAGTATGAGTGTTTTGCCTGCATGTGTGTAAATCAGAAGAGGGCGTGGCGTCTCTTGGAACTGGAGTTACAGATGGTTTTTAGCCTCCATATGGGTGCTGGGATTCAAACCCAGGTCCTCTGTAAGAGCAACCAGTTCTCTTAACCACTGAGCCATCTCTCCAGTTCTCCCCACATATTTTCTCTTTATTCACACCCCATTATTTCTATGTACCCAAAGACCAAATTGTGTTATGCCAAATATATCTAAATGATTAAAGGAGAGCTTCTAATGGGCTTTCATAATGCAGCATCTGCAGACCTCAGACATCCCAGTCATGGTTTGATGGTCTTGATTTCTGTATTCAGATGCTCAAATAAATCCAGTAAGCCAATTCTTTTGACAAAAAGGTGGATTTCTTAGAAGACAATTGTTAGCCTTTGTGTCCTTTAGATAATTAGAAAATATTCTATCTAAATTAATCTGTTGGTGGAGACCAGAAAGCCAGTATCTAGAGAAAATTTCTTTCTATAGTTGGATTTAGTTAAGAAAAATTTCTAAGCCTTGCCTGTTCAGATGCTTATGCCCTTTAATCATTCAACTAGAATTGGAAACAATGTGGTTATATACAGGTTGAATCTCAAGATATTTTAATAAAAGAAATCATTGCTTAGTTATTACTCTCAAGGAGTCCTGCTGTGAATCCTGAATTAAAACACAAGTGTTCAAGGAATTGAGAGACAGTTTTGCAAATACAGATTAGCAGAACTTCTAAATCCTCATTCTCTGCTTGAAGTAATTGGTAAAAAGTCTTGTGATTGTCTACCAAAAAAAAAAAAAATGTCAAGATGCTATTAGCAGCCATCTTAAGAACCAGGACTTCTCATTGTTGCACACAAAGCAGCTTTTTTTTTTGCTCTTACACATAACCATTGCTACTTTATATTAAATTCATTCCCTCCCTCTTGCCACCATCAATTTCCAGGGCTGATATTAAGTAAACACAGGTAAGAGATACTTTTAAAGATACATCTTTCAAACTTAGCTACATTCATGTATAAGTATAGGCATGTGGACACAGGAATACTTCTAAAAATAAAACATTTAATATACATATTCCAGATATTTCCCAAAGGTCACAAATTTCACTTTCTCATGTCACTATAACTTATCTAAGCTAATAAAAGTGAAAATGAAGGAGGTGGAGAGATGGCTTAGCACTGACTGTTTTTGCAAAAGACCCGGATTTGAATCCCAGCACCCACATGATAGGTAACCAGTGTTCATATCTCCAGTTCCAGGGGATCTGATGCCCTCTTCTGTCCTCCGCCGTCACTGCAATGACACAGGTGCACTTACATACATGCAGGCATAACACTCATACACATAAAATAAAAATAAATAAATGGAAAAATGCAAATTAAATGACAGAACAAAGTATGAACACTTTACCTTTTGGGGGCATTATTCCAGTCCTATTGTTCCATGTATTATTTTCTTTTAGGAGTTACTAAATGTCCTGTTTTTTTTCCTGTCTTGTTCACTGGGCAAACAGGGGTAGATGGTCCCCCTCCCTAGATAGGAGACGACCTCCTAGCCCCAGGATTCAAATCCAGCATGCATCTCCGGAGAATGACAGGTACTAGTCAACTCCTCACAGACAAGTGGCTTTAGAAGCTCACAGGCCACCGAGTGAAGGATATTAAGGGGGACGTTGGTTCTGAGATGCTGTTTTCAGGAACCAGAGCCGGCGTGTTGTTATTCCATCAGTGAGTGCACCCAAGTCGGATAAAGCACCTCAGAATGTTTACAGAAATGAGGGAAGCATAGCAAATGCTTTAGCTGAATTAGAGTGGTCAGGATCCAGTGAAGAGATGTGTTCTGATAAATCTTTCCAGTTTTTTGAGTTACTAGAAACATTTATGGATTGGTTATGTTTTCATGGGATTAATTAAACACAAATTTTCAGGTGTGTTATGTTTGTAAAAATGTGTCTCGGGGCCCATTCTTGGTTACATTCCTTGATAGTTTAATCTCAGTTTATTTGCTTTGTTACTATGTAAACTTGTTAATAATGAACTTTTATTCTTGGGGTATATTTAAAACATGATAAAAAGTGAAACATCTGGTTCTTGAACTTCTTATATATTGTGTTTTAAAATACTGTCAAGGGCTAGGGTCAGTCTTCAAGGTAGGTTTTTAAAAATATCTCTTCATTGAGTTCACTTCCTGATGATCTTTAACAAGTGTCAGAACATGTATCATTCATTGCTGTTAATATCCATTTACAATTCCCCTGTTGCATGGTGTTAATTGTATATTTGGTTTGTAACTTTAAATCTTTTCTGAATGGTCATGTAAGACTTTGGGGCATCTGAGATACCTCTCCAGCTGAAATTCAGCAAACACATTTGTAGTATGTATTAGATGAGAATGTATAGCATCTTGGACATATAAAAAGCGGGTATATGGCAGCTAGGTATATGAGGATATAGGTTTCTTTTCCTTTGACTTTGAGTATATGTAATTTAGTGATTGTAATCTTAGGGAGAAGTGGTATTGTTTATTTTTGGTATCTGTGCACAGGATCATGTCACAGTTTCAATTAGATAGAAAACCTAAACTGAATAGGACAAATAAATATCATTTAACAAATCTGAGAAAGACTAAAAACTGGCATTTTATAAAGATTTCAGTTAATTTTAGAATG